GGGTGTTATTAAATGTTTGTCAATTTCTTTCCCTCAGGATTGAGAAAGTATCTATCTATCGACTGATCTCAGGGTTCATTGCGTTTTTTATACACTGGAATTGTATGTATATGGCACAAGTGTGGTCCTAAACACGGAATACAAAAAGATACATTCACCACACGGTGCAAATGAGGAGGTGGAATTGACTGTGACAGAGGACCGTCTTAAAGATGAACTCCTGAAGCTAAAGGTATTGATCCTGAATTCTTTTGTGTGTCTGTTAACAAGGATACCACATTGTGGCCAAAAGTGAAGTAGTATTGGTTTACTGCATTAAACAAATTGCTAATGTTCATTGTAGATGGAAGCTGTGTGTAGGCAGTGTGGGGTTGACCCTAAGGGGTCCCATCTGGACTTGATAATAAGATTCTAGATGGAGATGAAAAACCGTGCATCATACGACGAGGTGTTTTCACATATCTGGGGTACTTCTGGTAAGGTCGCTAATATGCAGTGATTTGAAAGTTTGAATATGTTGAACACATTTGCTTGGAGGAGTTCAGTCATTGTATGTCCTGTTTTCTCTGACAGGTGGCTGGGCAGCAGTCACATCCCCATGTGCTGTGGTGTATGCCGTGAAATGTAACCTTAGAGCTAAAAGCCCAAGGGACTTCATCGACCTCAATGAAACACTTCCCCAACATCACACTTTATGACTTTGCACGAGGGTTGGCAACACATGCCAATACTAGGCAGCCAGAAATATTCAGACCACACGATGGACGGCTGCTGGAGCCCACCCTGTCAAATATTTCTCTTGCCAGTTCAGGGCAAGTCAAAGCCAATTTGCCGTGGCTAGCCCAGAAAAAGGAGGTTCCTGATGTTAATGGCCACCCTATCACCGGGTCATCAGGGCGTTATGCTCTGTATAACCGGTTTGATGAAGCCAATACTAAAGATGCCAGAGATGCATTGCAAAGGGTCGATCTCGCCCCAGAATTATGCAGCTGGCTGAAAAGTCAATGTGCCGAACAGCTGTTTTCGGGGATGAAAAAGAATAATTGTCTTTTAGATATGATGACTCCCTCCTCTCACATGTTTTTGGTGAGGAATATATTACATCACTACAACACAGCAGACAATTCAGCAACCATAGAACATACGAAAAAGATGCTTGGTGTGGGAGTTGACATCAAATTTAATTCTTATGGACAGACAGTGCTGGGTATGTAGTAGATTGATATATTTACATTTTCATGATGCTGAACATTATTGTTTGATGTATGTGGCATTGATTTGTTGAATTGAGTAGGTCTTGTGTGTTGGTTCACCGTTTTACATTTTTCTCTGCCAGCCGGAATTAATGAGGCCCAAGACCCCACCACAACCACAGATGAAAATCTGTATATATATACATATTTATTATTATTATTATTGTTGTTGTTTTTAATTATTGTTATGTTTACTTTTTTGTGAAAACTAAATACTTTTTGGTTAAATTTGTTTGGACTTATTGTACAAACCTATTTAACCCTTATAGTATGTTGAAAAATTATAAAAATGTATTGATTATGTTGCAGGTCATTTTGACCCGTATTATGTAAATGCTTGCAAAACAGTCACAAAAACAGGTTAAACCAATAAAAAATTAACTAATATTGAATAAACCTTTAGAAAAGTGACATTCAAAACAATTTTAATTCCAACACTTTATTTGATAACTATTTAGTTTGGGTTTTTCCCTCTTCACAAACATTTTGGAATATTACTATGTGCTTTCTACAGATCTAATTACATTTCACTCAAGAGTTACTTTTTTTGACTGTCGTCTTGGGAGGGACAGACCTGGAATCCGGGCTTTTCATTTCCTTTTCACCTGTCCACCGGATGTTGGCTGGGGGACCTAAGCTTGACCTGTTCAAAGATAGCTGCTGCTGGGGATCAAGCCGGCCTGACTCGAGTCTGGATCAAACTGGCAGTCTTGCTCTCACAGCTGTATGTTGCTGTGATTCTTGAAACATACGTCTCCTAGAATGGGCTCTCCTAGAATGGGAAACTAGAATGGGCGCTAGAGCGTTCGGCTATCAGAGTCCTCTTTTGTGGAACCAGGTTCCAGTTTGGGTCCGGGAAGCAGACACCGTCTCTATATTTAAGAGTAGGCTTAAGACTTTCCTTTATGATAGAGCTTATAGTTAGAGTAAGTCCACCCCTGGTTGTGCTGCTATAGGCCTAGACTGCCGGGGGATGCATCATGATGCACCGAGCTCCCCTTTCCTTTCTCTCTCTCCCTCCCGGTGCAACCTCATTCCATTAACAATGTTACTAACTGGACTCTCTCCCTTCCCCGTAGTCGTGTGCTTTCTCGTCCCCCTTCTCTCTTCTCTCTCTTCCTAACACTTTCTGCAGATATTCCTGGCTCTGGAGCTGTGGGGTCTGGATCTGTGGTTGGGAGTCTCCTCCTATCACTTCCTGCAGGTGTTCCTAGAGCTGTGGAGTCTGGATCTGTGGTTGGGAGTTTCCTGCTGCCCCCATGTTCCTGCTCATCATTAGCATTAATATCATTGCCATTTTTAATCTATTCTACGTGTTGCTGTGTTGACTGCCCCTCTCTGCTCCTTCTGTCCTTCTCTCGCCCTCTCTCTCTCTCTTGCTCTCTCTTTCCCCTCACCCCCAACCGGCCGAGGCAGATGGCCGCCCACCCTGAGCCATGGTTCTGCTCAAGGTTTCTGCCTGTTAAAAGGAAGTTTTTCCTTGCCTGTGTCGCCTAGTGCTTGCTCATGGTGGGAATTGTTGGGTTTCTGTAATTAACTTCAGAGTAGGGTCTGACCTGCTCTGTTTGGAAAGCGCTGTGAGACAACTGTTGTTGTGATGTGGCGCTATATAAATAAAATTGAATTGAATTGAATTGAATCCTGTCATGGGTGTCTTCTTCTTCTTCTGGCGTTTTTTGGCGGTTGGCAAAAAACTTTTAGTCGCATTACCGCCACTTACTGGTATGGAGTGTGGTTTCATGATGGTTTATTTATTATATATGGTCTATTTATCTATATATATATAAATCTCTCTCTCTATATATATATACATATATATATCTCAATCTATCTATATATATATACCTTAATATTCTACTCATTTATATAATTCAGTCTATAAATCAAATTCTATGATATAATTGAGTTTTCTTTAAATATTGAATAACTATTTGTATTTGTTTACTCCCCAAATGCTTCCTCAAAATATCTAATAAATTAATCTTTTCCTTAATACGTTTAAACTCTTTCTCCATATATCTTCTCTCCCTTTCATATTTATTACATTCTAATATAACATGTTCTACTGTTTCATATTTTCCGCAATAATTACATTTTCCAGTATTATGTTTTTGAATTTTATAAAGTGAATAATTTAGTGCTGTATGTCCAAATCTTAATCTAGTTATCACCCTCTCCTCTTTTCTATTTCGTCTTCCATTTCTTCTTTCTCTTACTGTTTTTTGAATTCTGTAAAACCATCTACCTGTTTTTCCTTCATCCCACCTTTGTTGCCATTTTTCCATAAGTTTTTCTTTAATTATACTCTTTCCCTCAGATTTACTTGTTTTAATGGTGAAATTTATAGGATTTTGAATCGCCCTCTTTGCTAATCTATCTGCCCTCTCATTTCCTTCTACCCCAATATGCGCTGGAACCCACACAAATATAACTATTAAACCCATGTTTTGTATTCTAAATAATGTATGAAATATTTCTAATACTATGTCCATCCTACTATCTGATTTATTATATTCTAAACTTAATAACGCAGAGCTTGAATCTGAACAAATGACTGTTTTTAATGGTTTTATGTCTTCTACCCATTGTAAAGCTATTAATATTGCCAACATTTCTCCTGTATATACTGATAACCCGTTTGTGATTCGTTTTCCCATTCTTATATTGAA